CATTCTGCATTTTATTTATTTACATCACACAAACTACAAATTTTGGTTGCCTTTTTTTCACTACAATAATTATAGAATCATATTTTTGAGTAACCCGTATTCAAAGAAGTGTTTAAACCAGAAAGCTCACCTTAAAACAATAGAAAATAAAATGCGTCCGAAGAGATGCTGCGGATAAAAATGTTTCATCATCCGTCCTCTTACGATTAATTGCATATCGTTTCACTGGTCAATTTTTATATTTGGCTGCATGGTTCAGTGAATAAGGTTCCGGTGTAAGAGGAATCATATGGTTTATATATCTTCTTTATCTCCATCACCATGGATTGATGTACCTGTTACACTAGATTTAGGGTACGTATGCCAGTATATATATATAAACCCATACTCTTTTCTTTTTTTTGCAGTATTAATAAACCCGGCTTTTATTCTCAAAGGAGTAGAGCCGACCACATCTGAAATCCATAATAATATCACACGCAAACGAAATGAAATTGAAAACATTTTTTTATAACATCTCTTTACGGCAAAGAGTATTACCAAGAAATAGATTGTTAATATTAATGTTTGTAGCGATTATGTTAATAATGAAATTTTGGAATCAAATGGATCCAGGTATTATAATGGAGTTATTTAATTTCCTATCGTTGTCACCAACTCATCATTCATGTGTTATGCTTTTATTACAAATCTTTGCACGATCAACAGACGATATTTTGTGTGAAACTTGCGATTTGGAATATACGAATGAATTCGACGGTATATACGAAAACCCTGATAACGATGTTATATCAGGTAATAATATATCTAACGAATACAGCAAAATAGCTAAAACAAACGTCACCCACTCGGTCGAATATCGACCACTAGCGATTCAACCGCTGGTGAATCCCGAAAAGGAATACAAATTTACAGTGGTATCAGGGGCAAGCAGAAATCATTTTTGTCCATTGAAAAGCTGGATCTATATGACGAATAAAGTACTCAAAGGCTTTGATGCCAGGATTGTCGTTTATGATCTAGGTCTGTCAAAGAAACAACGAAAAGGACTTTTGAAACTTGTCAAGCTTGGATACATAACAGATCTGAGAATTTTCAAATTCTCAGAGTATCCATCATTCTGGAATATTTCGATAGCACGTGGTGAATATGGTTGGAAACCGGCAATAGTGGCAGAAGTGGCGAGAGATTATCCCGGTACATTGATATGGTTAGATTCAGGTACATTAGCCGAACGTAAATATTTTGCAAATCTTCCGAAGCTATTGAAGAAATATGATGGTTTCATTTCACCGGTATCCCAAGGACAAATGAGAAAATGGACTCATCCGGGAGTCTACGAATACTTTGACGACGAGCACTGGAAATATGATAATTATCTCAATTGCAATGGCGCCTCGTTGACTTTTGATACTTACATAACAGAAAAATTGATTGACGCATGGTACAGATGTTCGTTGGATAAGAATTGTATAGCTCCGCCTGGAAGTAGTAGGGCAAATCATCGACAGGACCAGAGCATCTTAACGTACCTTGCAGCACGTGACGGGTGGTTTTGTAGTGTTCGGCCTCCGAAACTCTGGTTAAAAACGCATCAAGATAAAGGTTGTAAATCGATCGTGAAAGCGTTTGAGGCAAAGAAAAAAAAACCAAATGAAACTTTACATGAATCCATAAATAATAGGGGTTAAATTTAGAGGCTCAAGGATTCAAATAATTTTATTCAGGGGCATAGATGTATAGATAAAAAACAGATCGGTTTTTTACAGTATGATTATAGAAAACTCGATTAGTTAATTAATCTAATAACAATTTACTAATATAATATATCGGTTTTAACGGTATACTGGATTTCTTATTGCTGTCCGAACGTCAAAACTATAATAAACAATTTGCCCGTGACAAAATCCCAAAATTTAGCATTCACAGTTTTTGAAGTTTGACCATTTGATATTATCGAATGTTTTGTCGTCTCTCAAAAAATCATCCGAGATAACTGCTATCGATAGGTTCGTTATTAAATGATTGTAACAATGAATCATTTGTCCCATTGGTTGGTCGAAAATTGACTGAGACCGCTCGGATCGATTTTGGTACTGTATGTAAAGATGTTTAAAGCTAAAGGCGCATTCATTCAATGTATTTCAAGGTAATTGATTATCATCACACACGCAGGAGAGACTAAACAGACTAAACAAACAACACGTTCATCATTTATCAAAAGTGCCAATTGGACGAAAAAGAAAAACAAATAGAACATTAATTTTGCTGTCACGTTCATCATTTATCAAAAGTGCCAATTGGACGAAAAAGAAAAACAAATAGTTTCCATCTTTAGTAGGCCTAGAAATTTCCTATTAATAAAAAAAAAACTTGATTTCTATTATTTTTGGTGATGTTGCTAAAATTAGGGCATAGATTTTTTTGTTTGCTATTTATTATAATTTTTTATTAGAAATCTGTCTATGAAACGGCAGAAATTTATTAAATATTGAAACAAATTGTTATTGGCCGAGCTCTTTAGCGGTTCTCCAAACTTTGATTCTATCGGCCATCTCCTCTTCGATCTCGAAGTCAATGTGTGGTTGCGCAGCCCACCGTTCGCTAACCGATTTGATTCCTCCCACCTCTACGGCTGTGTCTAAATCAATCTTTAGAGCGCCTCCAAACATCAAATTTTGTTTATGCGTTAATTCTCGTTCATACATTCGCATAATTTCCGAAATATAAAAATTCGACAATGGCGCTTGAATATCGGTCGCGTCATCTACTTTTTGTTCGTCCGGTAGAGGTTGTTTCTTGGGAGTACTTGACTTTGAAGTTTGCTTTGATTTTGACGAGGATTTATTCTTTTTTTTCTGTTTTTTCGGAGAAGACGAAGGAGATGATTGGGCCGAATCTGGCAGAGTTGACGACAACACGTTAGTTATCATCGAAGGGCCGAACAATATTTTATTATTCTGTGATAATATGTTCTCCATTGATTTCAAAATTTCTTCAAAATCATCGATGATTTTATGAATCTTTGTTAATACATTTTCGATTTCACGAGATTGTTTGTATATAACCAAGCTTAATGTTTGTGATGTTAAAACTTGATCCAGAGGATTTAAAGAAATGGTGGCAAAGTTCACGTTCGTGACTAATCTCGATGTCGTTGCTCCGGAAGCACTGATGTTTTGCAAGACATCCGTAGTTGTATGTCTCTGAGTCAGGATATTTATTAGCGACGAGAATAATGCACACGAATGGCTGTGAATTGATGACCAATCTTTACATAAGCTGTCAAGACGGATAAGGTGAGTTATGTGCTGGGGTGCAGGCATTTTAAAAAGTAGAATCTTCGAATTTTCTGATTGTGCGGGTTTTGTGGGTCGCACAAATGTAATCACCGATAATCAGTTACGGTATTTAAGCATTCGACTCTGATCCACAACACGTTTATCGCTTCTTTTTCTTCGAATTGGTATGATTCTTGTTAAATAGTTACCTTTATCGCGCTGGTAGATGATGGTTCACGGAAAGGTAGTCTCCTCAAAAAAATTTCTTGCGCCTGCCAAAGAATCTCTGCTGGATTACACAGAGGAAGGAGAAAGTTCTTCAACATCGCTTCCAAAAGACATCGATGAAAAAAGTATTCTTTCATCGGAACATGATTCAGAATTTAGTCAGCCGCAAGATGAACCCTTTGAGACATCAGATGAAATGGAAACAGATGTGAATCCATTGCCCATTAGCGATGTCGAGGAGATTGATAAGGTGATCCTGGATGGAAAGATCGTGGTAAAAGTCGATCGCCCTTGGAAATGTAATCACGAGGGGTGCGATAAAGCATTCAAGGTTAAATCCAACTTAAAGAGGCATCAGATTTCACACACAGCATTGGTAAAAACATCCTTCCGAGAATCCAGTCGGGAGATTGTACAATTTCTTGTTTTTTTTTTTTCCTTTTCTTTTTATACATATGTATCTTTTAATAAATACAGAGGCCCTTCAATTGTCCGGTTCCCGGTTGTGGTAAATCATATAGACGTCTCGATCATCTGCAAAGT